TTTGCATGCGGGAAGAATTGATTGGTACATACTAAAGACCTGACATTGACCTGATGAAAAAATATCATATAAAATTATCAATTTAAACATTATATTTCATATCTTGGGTGAAAATTATTGATTTATATAAAGATGATACTATACTGATTTGCACGTAGCCAGAATGGAAGTGAAGTGTACGCAGAGAACGGGGGATGGAGGGTGCTTTCCAACTTTCACTAATCAAAATTTTATTAATACGTTACCAAATTACCAGATTGAAAGGTTAGGTTTGGAAATAAGTGGGGGGGGGGGGGGGGAGGCACCCCTCTGCCTCCTCCCCCTAAACTATGTCCCTGCTGGTGAGGGCCCAGAAGCTCCTAAGTTTTACCAAATATTTCACTCATTTCTTGCAAAATAAAAAGATACTAGTTTGAAATTTAGCGTTTGTTTAGCAAATAAAAGACATACAGTAAAATTTATTGTTTTAACGCAAAGTTAACATATAGCAATATTTATTGTTTTTTCGCAAAGTTAATACTTCCATGGAAAATTACTGTACTTGTAGTTTAGGCTAAATATTTAAACGGTATATATTGGTATCATAGACTCTTTCTTAAACATTCAAAAACGCGTATACTTAATTATTGATAACTATTAGCAAAAAATACCGTATTTTAAATCATGTACTAGTAAATCATGGCATTCAACGATGTGTTTGAATTTTAATTTCTCAAAGATTTTTTAAAATTAATGTCAATGTATTAAAGAACAGTTACAATTTAACGAATGATTTATTGGAAATTGGCAATGATTTCATAAAGGATTTCAATTTTTTTTTACACAGTCATATAAAATAAAATTTCAGTTGAAACTGTATGATACAAAAATAATTCATAACACGAATATTTGTTGGATGAAAATGAGATTTTTTTCTTTGAATCTCCTCTCTCTCTCTCTCTCTCTCTCTCTTGGTCAAATGATGTGTACGCACTTGCGTATTTGCGTATAGGCAGCTACGCGCCTGCTTAAATACACCTTTAGGGGATAATACTGAGAATTATTTCCTTGTATCAAGGTGTATATTTACAAAACTTGATGACCTGATATTTCTAGTGAAAACTTGATATTTTAAAAGACACAATATTTATGACTTGCATCTGATGTTTTAAATGACTGATATATTTTTATAACATTCTTTAATAGGGAAAGTATGTAACTTGTGAAATTAGTTATATCAAGGATTTTTTTGGAAGTATATTTTAGATATGTACTCATATAGCATGACTCAAAATCGCAAAGAAAATGGGGGGTCAGTGTGCATCTTACTGAGCCACAGTACAACTAAATTGACCTTTTTGCACTTAAATTGTAACTCTTTGGTTAATCACTTTAATTTTTATCATATGTTATCAGATGTACTTATGGCAATAAATATAATCTTATTTTACGTAAAATGGTTTGAATAATATTCATCATTGAACAAATCATGCAAATTAATGTGCATAATGTGTGACCTTTTTGCACTTAAAAAGTTTCATATTTGGGGTATAAAAAATCTAAATAGGCAATTAAATATTTTCTTGTATCAAACTTTTTATGACTTAAGTGCTGATCGGTGAGAAGTGTCGTGTTGGTTAAAATAATGAAAGAAAAAGTTGGGGTCATTGATGTAAATTCTGAGAAGTCGGTCAAAATGTGCGATTTTCAGACAAATAATGGTGGAAATTTTATCTTGACTTTCTTAATATATCTTCATTTCTTGGCAAAGTCTGTTGAGTGAATGTGTAAAATTTGTTCTTAATATATAAATTGAGACCGATAGTTAATATTCCTAGTGTATCATAATGGAAAATATTCTGTAAGTAAAAATATTTGGGGCTAAAGTTCCAAGATATCAAATTTAATTAACAAATGTGTAGATTTGAAGAATTTTCTTCTAAATATCCTTCCACCAAAAGAAATAGAATTCTGACTGAACTTTTCTGAAATGCTGATGAGTTACATACCTTAAACATATTTAAATATTTTTGAGACAAAAATATTTGCAGCAATTTATGAAAAAATTGACTTTGAACTACTGATAATTTTTCTACTAAAGACCTGATATTTTTGAATGACCTGATATATTTGAATGATCTGATCGGTTTAAATGATCTGATTTATTTTTATAACATAGTTTTAGGAAATTGAAACAGATTTCAATGTTAATGAAATATGAATATTTGCAGCAATTCATTTAAAAACATCAGGTCTTTAGAAATATCAGGTCATTCAAAAAATCAGGTCATTTAGTTTTGTGAATATACTTTGATATAAAGCAAGAAATCAAGATTCTGTCTGGTGTTTAGCGAAATTCCGCTAATTTGAAGCCAAGAATCTGATATTTATGAGTGTTTTCAGTACTTCCTTTTTTGCCGCAATCAGTTTCCATTTTTGTCCAGATAAAAAATTAAAGTATCGTCCGTGTTTTCATTTAATCTGCATCATCCAGACTAGTCCAGACGTTTGCTTTTATCTCCAAGTAAGGTAAACACAAACATAGGGATGATTCAGACTTCCTTTCAATGGTGTGGTGGTTCATTCAGCCAGGTCAGGATCTGAAAGTTGTTGAACAAACTGTCACACTTCAATTTTTGTCACTCATTTAAACTTATTTTGTTGATAAAGCCCATATTTTGTCAGCCCCTTGACTCCCAAACTATTTTAGATATTTTTGCCAATTCACATAATCCTCACTGATAAATGCACATTTTGTGCATGGCATTTGAAATTTTGGCTGCCTGCGGGAGCAGTCATGGCGTCACTACACATCTAAATCAGTTTGTGTGTACAAAGGCATATGAGTTTACACATTGATAAATACTGCGGGAAAAAAGAATGTTTAATCATATATTAAATTTGTTATAACAAATTTAATTTGTTTATCAATAAACAAATTCTGCAATTCATTATATATTGGATTCATAAATATTGTACTATGGACCCAAAATGTCAAATTCAATTAATTTGAACAAATACAAGACTTTGTTTAAATGAATTTGATTGGTGATAATACAATTTCAGTCCCCTACTGGTGAAACCGGAGTGGACTATAGGTTTTCTCTGCATCTGTCTGTCTGTCTAGCTATCTGTCCCTCTGTCTGTCCCTCTATCAGTCTGTCCCACTTGATTTTCCACACTTTTTTCCTAAACGCATGCAAATACATGGGCTGACAAATCCCATTGCCCGACGCCCGGGGCTAATGAATTTTACGAGAGGGCAAGTGAAATTTTATCAACCACCTGCCTGTGGGCAAGTGACTTAAAAAAACAAAATAAATATTTAAAAATAAGTCATAGATTTAATTTTGGGCATGTTCCACTCAGTATTTTTCTTCCTATTTTAAAATTTTAAATATATATAAATAGAGTATTAGTTTATGGTTGCATGGGCAAGCAAAAATTCAGGTAGGGCAAGTGAATTTTCACCATACACTTGCCCTTGGACAAGTGCCCAAAAAAATCTATTTGTCAGCCCCTGAAATATTGAGCTGATTTTTGGTATGTGAGTGTATCTTGATGAGTTACAGACCAAGTTTTCATTTCATTCTGCTTCATTGATTTTTGATGGAATTAAGACCTTTTCAATTTTTAAGGGTTTTCCACAATTTTTTTTCTAAACGCTTGCAGATATTGAGCTGATTTTTGGTATGTGACTTTATCGTCTTGATTAGTTATAGTTCAAGTTTGCATTTTGTTCCACTTCAATGATTTTTGATGGAATTATGGCATTTTCAATTTTTAACGGGAACCAGATTACACTTTGCCAATAGGGGACTAGTATTGCTAATGCAATACTCTCAGAATGCTTGTTAGAATTTGTTATAATAAAATTAATCTGTTATAGCGAGGTTTTGAATTTGTTATTATGATAATATAATAAATCTGTTTTAACAAATTTAATTCATTATATGGAAATCAAAAAAACTGTTTTAATGAATTAAATTTGTTTTGACAAGATCAACAATTTGTTATATCAACATGATCAAGTTCAAATATATTTTTTCATAGGTCCTTAATCTGCTTTTTAAGGCATAAATTCTGACAATTGTTATTCATGTTATTTATATGAACTAACATAAATCTATTAGATCAGGGCTCGACATTAACATTTTTTCCTACTTGTCCATTCGGACAAGTGACCAAGACATTCACTTGTCCGAACTTCAACTTCACTTGTCCGAAAATTTTTCAATAGAGATCTAATACTGTCAACTTGAAAACTAAAATAAAGTCCATTACACATGGCATGTGCTTGATTGATTCGTGATGTTATTGATAAATACAAAATACACATAAAACGAAATTTTATCTAGGCTTTCTGTCCTGACAACAACATAAATGTCCACAGTCATTCGTTAAGTTCGTAAGTCCCATGCCTTTTCAGTAGTATGCAATTAGTGAACTTCGATCCCGATCGAATGTGAACTCAATTTACGATCTCTATCGGAATCGAAGTCCGGTTTTTATGTACAGCTTCCGTCTTCAAACTGCCGATTAACTTTCAAGAGTCGTTATTTTTATTATGTAGAGACTCTTTTACATTAAAATGCACTTGTCCAGTCGGACAAGTGCCCGGCAATATTCACTTGTCCGTAATTTTTTTTCACTGGTACCGGACAAGCGGACAAGCGTTAATGTCGAGCCCTGTAGATATGTTGAATTTTTCTGACACAAGTTTGTAATTATTATCCTAAATTTTACATTTCACAAGTACCTTGATCTAGTATTAAAAATGATTTCTTTGTCAAATTTTCAGGGGGAAAAATACAGCTTGTTCACCTAAATCACACATTCAAAGCGATGCTGAAAAGTTGAAAAATTACAGTGCTGATAACCAACAGAAAAAGACAAAAATTTAGAAAAAGACAACACTTTTAATATGCATAAAGCCTTATGAATGTATCATCTGTGGAAAAGTTCTTGACTCATTCAGAACATTTAGGGAAACACTTCAGGACAGATACCATTAAAATACCTTCTGAATGCATTTTTTTTTCAGAAAACATTACATAAAAAGACACATCAACACACAACTTGTATAGCGATTTTAAATAGATGCATCAATACACCTGTGAAGAAAGCCAAATGAATGTAACATTCGGCTTGTGAGAATCAACTTGTTCAGATAAATTACCACAAATGGGAACTGATACAGGAGATAAACTTTGTAAGTGTGATGTGTGTGGGAGTGAATTAAGGGAAGCAGGAAGCTTAAAGAAACATATGAGGATACATACTGGTGAGAAGCCTTATGTATGTGGTATATGCGGAAAGGCATGCAGCATATCGAGTTCCTTAAGAACACACATGAGGAGACACACAGGTGAGACGCCGTACAAATGTGAGCAGTGTTGTCAGGCATTCATGCAGGCAAATGCCTTACGCAGACATATGTGGACACATGCAGGTTATAAACCTTTTGAATGTAATGTGTGTGGGAAGGTATTCATCCAATCAAATGTCTTACAGATACATATGAGGACACATACAATTGATAAATGTGATGTGTGTGGGAAGGCATTCAAGAAATTATCTATCTTAAAGAGACACATGTTGACTCATTCATTTGATGGACCTTATAAATGTGATGTGTGTGAAAAGACATACAAATGCTTAAAGAGCTTAAACATACACATAAGGACACATACAGGTGATGAACATTATAAATGTGATTTGTGTGAGAGGGTTTTCTCTTTACCAAAGCACTTAAAGCGACACGTCATGAAGACACATGCTGATGGAGATCCCACTGAGTGTGATGTGATCGGGAATTCAGAGAGAGAAAATACATGTGATGTGTGTGGAAAAGTACTTGGTGATTCAATGGGTTTACAAAGACACATGAAAATACATAAAGGAGAAAATCCTCATTCGTGTGATATCTGCGAAAAAACATTTCGTGAAAAGGTGCACTTGAAAAGACACAGAACGACGCATACATTTGAAAAAGCCCATAGTTGTGATGTCTGTGGGAAAGAATTTAAATATCCAGATGGTTTACAAAGACACATGAAAGTACATAGAGAAGAAAAATCTCATTCGTGTGATATCTGCGGAAAAGCATTTCGTGAAAAGTCACACCTGAAAAAACACATGAAGACGCATACGTTTGAAAAAGCCTATAGTTGTGATGTCTGTGGGAAGGAATTTAAGTACCGAGATAGTTTACAGAGACATATGAAAATACATAAAGGAGAACAAACCTAAATTTGTGTGATGTATCTGGAAAACCTTTTATTCAGAAGACATATTTGAAAAAAAAAACATGAGAAGATACATAGAGGTGAACAAATAAAGAATTAAATGTGATTTGTGTTATAGAGAAAAACATGAAAAGGCACATGAAAACACATATTAGAGAAAAAAATTACAAATGTGATTTGAAAGGGAAATTCATGTGTTTATTGAGCATGTTGATAAGGGATAGGAACAGGCATGCAAAAAATCTTGAAAAGTGTCATTTGTTTCAAGGAAAAAGACTCAAGTATAACATAAATACAAGCATAAAAAGCATAAAAGATAAGCATAAAAAGTTATTACCTTGATAAACTTATTAAGCCTACCCCCCCCCCCCCCCCCCCCACACACACACACACACAAACACAACTCCTTGGAGATGACCTGAAAATGCGATAATAATACTTTTTTTTTTTTTACATATTCCAATAAACATAACTATTGGAATGTGAAAAAAGGATCATTGTCATATGTGTCCCTTTTAGTTTCACCTGAGCTTTTCTGATCACCCATTGTCTGTCCATCTGTCCTTCTGTAAACTTTTCACATTTTAATCTTCTCAAGAACCATGGGGCCAGTTTTAACCAAAGTTGATAATAAGGGTCCTTGTGTGAAGGGGAATTTAAAATGTTAAAATGAAGGATAATCCAAGGAGATAATTAAGAAAAGACAAAAATAGGGTGGGGTCATTAAAAATTCTAAAGAACCACTGGGCCAGAAAGGGTGAAACTTGTGTGGAATTTTCCTGAGGTAGTGTAGATTCTAAATTATTCAAATCAAGGCCCCCGAGGCCCGAGGGTAGGATGGGGTCACAATAGAGAATCAAAGTTTTACATTTAATATGTAGGAAAAATCTTATAGAATCTCCTTGTGGAGACCCACTGGGCCAGAAAATCTAAAACTCACGGTATGTGGAACCTTCCTGAGGTAGTGTAGATTCTAAAAAATACAAATCATAGCCCCTTGGGGTAGGGTGGACCAAAATAGGTTATCAAAGTTTTACATTGAAATAATTTAATTTTGTTTGTATTCTAGCCTCTAATTGGTTAATATCCAAGAAGGAACACAACTTACGACTGTATAACCTGGTTTGGTATGGGAACACACCCCCTGACAACCAGCTGAATCGTCTGTATCCATACAATCCTCTCATTTCCAGTCCTCGGGATTCATGGGAAATTCCAGATTTAATAAATGTACCCTTAACTTCAAACAATAATTCGATCTTACCACACGTAAACAAACAACAAGGCTGCTGGGCCGGGCCTATGTATCAGTTTTTACCTCCCCTCGCTTCCCATCACTTCCGTTACTTCCGTTTCTACCGTAACGGTTGTATTATTGAGCGGTAAATTTGAACTAATAAAAAGCAACGAAATTTTACACCCATAGTTATTTAATGAATTTAAAATTAAATTATATTAAGGAATGACTCTAATTCTTGGCCAAATTATTCGAGTATAACCTGGTTTGGGTCAGTTTACGCTGTTTTATAATCCGCTTCGCGGACCCAAACCAGGTTATACTCGAATAATTTGGCCAAGAATTAGAGTCATTCCTAAAATATATAGAAAAAGATCTTCTTCTAAAGAACCAAAGAGCCAGAAGAAAACTGAAACGTATTATGAAGCTTCCTTGGGTACTGTAAATTCTAAATAATACAAATCGTGGCCCCAAGGGGTAGGGTGTGGCCACAAAAGGGAATAAAAGTTTTATATTGAAATACATATAGGGAAAAAAAAAACTTTGTCTCAAGAACCACTTGGTCAGAAAATGTGAAACTCATGATGAAGTTTTCTGAGGTACATGTAGTGTAGAATCTAAAATGTTCAAAATTATGGCCCCTGGTACAGGGTCGCAGCAATATGAAGGCTTCCTGATAACATAACACTGCATTACAAGGTCGTTTTTGGTTTTAATTTATAAGTTATATAGGTTTTTTTGAAGTGTTTCACATAAATTGCTTTGGTGCAGCCGATTTAAACAATTAATACTTACTTTTTGTCATATAAATAAACTCGTCGTATCCTCGTGTACCCAAAATGTGTTTGGGAAAAGTTTACTTTTACTTGGGTACAAAATAATTCACAAGAAATTCAACTTAACGACAAATTTGAGGATATTTTCCACACAATATCGTAATCTGTATTAAGAGAAAGTCATCACATATTTTTCCCAAGCAAGATTCGGTTAGAGGGCAAACTCCTCTCTCAAATTTCCATGAAAAGATCTCGAATAAATCCTCATTAATCACCTGCACCAGGCTCTTTTATATGCATTTTGTAAATTCTACCTCTAACTATAGGTATAAAACAGGGCAAATTTCAAACGTATATTTTTCGTATAATTTTGAACACGCTGAATTTTAAATATAAATTAAGCGACATACATGTATTTTAAGGTATTCGGACATATTAGATTTAAAATATACAATTAAAACACTAGAATTTTATAATAGCTTTCTGACATTAATACGCAGATTGAAATAAGATGTAAAGTTTATGACACTCCCCCCATCATAACAGCTCAAGTTTGCAATGACTTGACATCATTTTCAATTATGATGTCATACATTAGTAGTTCAGAGAAGTGAAGGCATAGAGTACATTGCAATATTCTATGGGAAGCCTTAACATACCTGTGATGGAGCTGCAATATGGAATAAGTATTGTTTGTTGTTTTGAACATATTTTATTGACAATATGTCAAAGGGATTAGACACAAGTTCTAAAAACTTAGATAGTCCTCTCCCAACTTAGATAGTCCTCTCCCAAATTGCCAATAAGTATTACAAGGGGGAAAATCTTACGTAGAACAACAGGGCCAAAGTGACTCAGTTGAGCGTTGTGGCCCATGGGTCTCTTGTTCAACTCCTCTCTATGAAGCTGAAGGGGGGGGGGGGGGGCTTAAGGTTTTAAGCTATACCTTAGACATCAGCCTCTTAAGTTTTAGAGCAGTCTTTTAACTACTTCTCCATCTTATATGTTATGTTTCTACGGATGAAAATTTCAAAAACATTAATTTTGTATCAAGTTTTGAATGATTGATTACATTCGTTGAGGTGAGCTTCGCATTTGTTGATTATCTTTGTTAAATTAGCTCAAATTCTAAGTTTTTTCAAATCATGGCCCCCAGTGTATGGTGGGGCCACAAAAGGGAATCAAAGTTTTACTTTGAAATATTTAGGGAAAACCCTCAAGAACCACTGAAACAGAAATAGTGAAACGTCTGTGTGAGAGCTTCCTTAGCAGTGTTGATTCGAAATTGTTCAAATGATGCCCCCAGGGGGTAGGTTGGGGCCAAAATATCGAATTTTGAAATATATTGAAAAATCTTTAAAAATTTTCTTCTGAAGAACCACTGGGCCAGATAAGGTGAAACTTATGTTGAAGGTTACTGGGGTAGTATCGATTCTGATTTTTTTTTCTTATATTATGGCCCCTTGGGTAGGATGGGGCTACAATAGGAAATCAAAATATTGCAAAGGAAATAATTTGATGAAAAACAGCAGGGCCAAAGTGACTCAAGTGAGGGTTGTAGCCAGTGGGCCTCCTTTTTTAAACTCACCTGAGCTAAATGCTCAAGTGAGCTTTTCTGTCAGATCATCATTTGTCCGGTGTTTGTCTGTCCGTCCGTCCGTCTGTAAAATTTTCACGTTTTCAACTTCTTTTTATGTACCATTGTTTTATTCTAAGTTGGCACAAAGCATGCCTGGGTAAAGGGGATTCTTTATTGTTCAAATAAAGGGTCATGTATCTTTGAAGGGCAGAAATTCAGAAAAAAAAGGCAAGGATAGGGTGAGGACATTAAAAATCTTCTGTTCAATAACCACTGGGCCAGAAAAGCTGAAACATGTCCTGAGGAAATGTAGATTACAAATTCTTCAAAACATGACCCCCGGTTTTAGGGTTGAGCCCCAATAGGGAATGAACGTTTTACATTGAAAAATATAAGGAAATTTATCTTAAATTTAAAAATCGTCCTCTCAAGAACCACTGGGCCAGAAAAAAAGGAATTATTTTAAGGCTTCCCTTGTTAGTGAAGATTCTAAGCTATTCGATCATCTCTGGCCCCCTGTGTAAGGGTGGGGCCACACAATGAACATGATGAAATCAAAATTTTACGTGAAACTATTTTTTAAAACTTTCCAAAAAAACTTTAAAAAACACAATAGACATTAATATGAAAATATAGTTCTGTATGTGAATTTAATTTTTAAATTATGAACCCTGGGTTAGAGTTGGATGAGATCAGTATAAAATTATACATAATGCATGTATACAGAAAAAAGAATTTTCTAAATTTCAAAAAGAATGTCCTATCGGTATTGAAGCATCCCCATGGTATGTGGATTTTAAGACACTTTAGAGTTAAGGTGGAACCATAATCTCATAATTTTGCAAGGGAATATAAAATTAAATATCTGAAAAACAGCAGGACTTAAAGTAACTCAGGTGAGCGTTGTGACCCATGGGCCACGTGTTAAGATTTGAATTGAAGTATAATTGACATTTTTTAATCATATTTTTATCATTAGTGATTGCAATTGCAACGCTTAATGATAGTTCTATCATTAAGCGGTGTTTTATCATTAGCTGTTGGTACAGGGCACAAAAACAGACCCCTGAAAATTCCTGGGTGGATTCATGTGCCTAGGAGGAATAAGTACCCTCTGTTGACCGATCACAGCCGCCATGAGCTTGATATATTGATCAGGTAGACGGAATAATTCGTAGTCAAATTAAGTGTCAAACAAAAGCTTCACAATTGTGATCAAGGTTATGAGGTACATGTATTTCAGTCAAAATACACCACAATTATAGATTGTATTTGCTAACAAACTTATTGTAACGACCATAGTCTTAATGAAATGCTTATTTTAATCGAGTTTGTTGAAATCCTTGTAACATCAACTTATTTGTCAGTAATATGTCTTTTAAAATGATCGTACTTAGAGTATGCTCCTAAATACGTTGAAAGACGTAAATAGCATTTGCAGATGATTGTGGAATATGACCACATACATGTAGATAAGGAAATTTGACGATGTTTGTCTCAGGTTCGCGGCTATA